CCATCACCACCGCAACTGATAAGATTGAGTGAGGGGATGGAAACTCAGCTGGCATTCGTAGACTTCGGATGTTCCGCCGTCACTCTTGTGCGGGCCCGCCCAATGGCCGGTCGCTGGCCGGTCTGCGGTTGAAGTCGCAGTCTGACTGCGTGGTTGCGTGGTTGCGTCGTGTGGTTAATTTGTCCAGCGCCGCCGGCACCAGCTGCAAGGTACGGATTCATCTTTGGCCAATCACCTCTGCAACCGCCGGCCTTGGCCAGGGGTCGATGGGGTGGCGCCGCGCCGTGCCCAATGACAGCTTCCATGTTTACAGGTACCTTAAGCAACATGCAAAATTACCTTACACCACACCTGAGGTGAGGTGCCTGTGTGCAAGGCACCTCGCCTCACCTTAGGTATTCTGGCTCCGACCTGCTTCTCCTGGCAACCTGGTTCTTCGTTCAGGTAGGACGAAAACCCTATGAGATGCTTGCTGCGTCAGGCAAAAAGACGGACAAAAAAAAGCAAGGAAATGGCAGAGAAAAGAAAACCCATAGGGGAGAGCGAAAAACAAGGTCTGATCCAGATATAGTGCTGAGCCTTGGCCCTTGTCGCTCCTGAGCGTTCCCCTGCGTCTTCGCTCCTTGATCTACCTACTATGTACTAAGTATGCAGTACGTAGCGTAGACTGTAGTGTCCGTATACGGCGTCGAAAAGACTTTCCTGGTCCCTGCCGTCCTCCTTGCCCCTCGCTGATGTCCTTTCGCCTCTGTCGCCCACCCACATGCTGGTCCTTGCTCCTGCTCATCGTCTTGCCCGAACCCAACCATGCAATCCTTGCTGGGGCCAGTCGTCCTCGTTCACGCTCGTGCCATGCCATCCCGTCCTCGCAAATCCAATCCCTCCCTCCCATCTCGACCGACAAGAGGCGACGTGTGTCGTGTGTCGTGTGTCTGTCATCGTTGGCCTTTGCATTGCAGTGCCGCCGTCAACCAGGAACGACTGTCACAGTTGCAACCTCATTGTGTGTGAGTGTATACGGCGCAGTCCTGGCATAAACGCGGTGAGTGAGCCAACTGCCGTCCGGCTCCTGCGAACAAATTCGGGCGCCCTTGCCGAGCACCCTGTTAAGCCTTGCGCTGCCATGCGTCGCCCTGCAGGGGCCGCGACCGCGCCTCGTCTCGACTTAACTTGCGTCATGAGGACGGTCGTCTCCTTAGGGACCTGGAGCCAGTGAACCAGGCCAGCTGCCGGCCGGACGCCTCAATAACGAATGACTGTTCTCCATGGACCCGACCATTTACAAGGTAAGTAAGTACTCTGCAGTACTACTGTGTACGAATAGGGCAGCAACAGTAAGTTACAAGGCAAGTGGGTGCAGGCAAGGTGATCCCCTTCCATCTATCTGGGGATGCCCACATCAGTGGATCCGGGATCCTCTCTTGCAGTGTAAAAATGGTGTTTTAGTCGTTGTCGACTAGGGTCTTCGTATCAGTTCGCACACCTCTCCACTTGCCTATACCGTACACAGTACACCCCTTCGGCAAAAAGGGCACCTACTGAAGGGCTTTGCTTGCCGTTCCTTGCCTTTGCAGTAGATGGTGGTAGCCCAGTGCGCGTCGATTTCGGCCTACCTTAGCAGTCAGACCCCCCACCCCCCCGGGCCGCGACAAAAAAAAAAAAAAAGACGGCGTCCGGTCTGCTTTTGCTACTTACATCACCGTTCCTGCGCTCACTTGCCATCTCGCTACTTCACTTTCTGTTCTTCTTCTCTCTCCCTACACGGCTCACCCGCTGGCTCGATCACGAGTAAATTTTCTTCTTGTCCTTCCCTTTCCCTCACCCTTCTCACGCCTGGGCTCGTGACGTCGATTATCAAGACGTCCTTTTTCTTTCTTCTTTTCCCAGACTGCTGTCATTTTGGCCCCCTGCATTGACTGCACCTTTCGACGTTACTTTTCCTAAGGCTATTCTAAGGAAGTACCCATCGTACCGGTTTCGATATATTTCCGACCACCAAACAAACGATCAACGTATTGTCTACTCGGGTTTTAACCTCCACGACTCCTTCGCCACTACCCACGGTTTCTTGTCTTCTCTAACACCACGTACCAACTTGCGACGTCCTTCGATTCTCCGATATCTGCCTGCGATCTTGCTGGACAACGACTGACCGATATTGGACTGGAAAGACGACGTCGCAACGACTACGAATCGACGACTTCCTCACTCTTGGACTTTGTGTGTCATCAATTTCCCCGCCAACTGAATCCGTCGACATGGCTGGCGGCGGCGGCACCCAGTCGCCCGAGGCCCAACAGGCTGCCATCAACGCTGCTCTGGAAAACAAGGCCCTTTCTAACTACCTGTACTATATCATCGCCTGTACCTCGGCTGCCGTCATCATCTGGAGAGTTTGGACAGTCATCGTTAAATACGTACGTACTGTCGCCTGCCTCAACAACGACAACCAACGGTACTTCGTCGAAACCGATTCCAAGTTCGCCTGGATCAAGAGAAATGTTCTCTATGCCCCTATTTTCAGCAAGCGCCACAACCGCGAAATCCAGATGAGCAGCGCCATCAACGTTGGCACCTTGCCCAGTCGTCTGCAGCTGCTGTTCCTCGCCGGCTACCTAGGCACCAATATTGCCTTCTGCGTTATCAACATTCCCTTCGCTGGCTCATTTGCTGCTGCGGCTAGCCAGCTTCGAAACAGGACCGGGACCCTCGCTGTCGTTAACATGGTGCGTGCTGATTCTCATGGTCTGTCCCGGGTATTTGGGCGGGACGGGGTGAGGGTGTGTTTGCTTGCTTGCTTGCAGGCAAACACAAATTTATCCGCTGAAGACATGCTGACTAAATGTAGATTCCCTTGTTCTTGATGGCTGGACGCAACAACCCCCTGATCAAACTGCTTGGCATTTCATTTGACACCTTCAATCTGCTGCACCGTTGGTTCGGTCGCATCGTCATTCTGGAGGCCGTGACCCATACCCTAGCCTGGTGGGCCAACAAGGCTCAGACTTCCAGCTGGGAGTCTGGCTGGCAGTCCATCATCGCCGTTCCTTTCTTACTCTTCGGCTTTGTCGTAAGTGGAATAGCCTCAGAGGCGTGTTACATGAGGAACTGACAGTGAAGCAGGCAACCTGTGCCTTTGTCGCCCTTGGCATTCAGGCATCTAGCCCTATCCGCCATGCCTTTTACGAGACGTTCAAGCTGCTGCACATTCTGCTGGCTATCGCTGCGGTCGTTGGAACTTGGTATCACCTGCAGATGAAGGCTCTGCCTCAACTGATGTACCTGTGGCCTGTTGTCATCTTCTGGGCCGGCGATCGGGTTTGGCGCGCTGCCCGTGTCTTCTACGGCAACGTGGGCCATGGAGGGAGCAAGGCACTTGTTGAAGCACTCCCTGGCAATGCATGCCGTGTGACCGTCACGATGGCCCGCCCCTGGACCTTCGGTCCAGGCCAGCATGCTTACATGTACCTGCCTTCCCTGAGTTGGTGGCAGTCACATCCGTTCTCCGTGGCTTGGGCCGAAGAGGCTGAGGATCCCCAAGCCGAGAAGATGTCCCTCAACCGCCAGGATATCCTGGCCATGCGCAAAACCACCATGTCCTTCATCATCCGCGCTCGTACTGGAATGACCGACACACTCTACCGCAAGGCCGCAGCATGCCCCGATGGCCGCATGACAACGTCTTGCATGATTGAAGGGCCCTACGGCGGTCTCCACGGCATGCGCTCATATGGCACTGTCATGCTGTTTGCTGGTGGTGTTGGAATCACTCACCAGGTTCCCCACGTACGTGACCTCGTTGCCGGCTACGCAAACGGAACGGTCGCTGCTCGGAAGGTGGTTCTCGTCTGGATTATCCAGAGCCCCGAACATCTCGAGTGGATTCGTCCTTGGATGACGGAAATCCTGGCTATGGAGAAGCGCCGTGACATTCTCCGTATCATGCTTTTCGTCAGCCGCCCTCGTTCAACCAAGGAGATTCACAGCCCGTCGGCCACTGTGCAAATGTTTCCTGGCCGCCCCAACATCGAGACGCTCATCCGGGCTGAGCAGGAATCCCAGATCGGCACTATGGGTATCAGCGTGTGTGGCCCAGGTGCCCTCAGCGACGAGGTCCGCCGCGCTGTCCGCGATCGCCAGCATGATACCGCTATTGACTTCAACGAAGAGGCCTTCTCGTGGTAGAAGGAGAAATATGATTGTGCAAACCTCTAGTATTACAATTGAAAATCAACAACGAACAAGAGGAACCTGCCCAAAGCAAGAGATGTCAGGCCATACAGACAGCCCGAGTCTGAGACAAAGATCCGAGCCAGGCGGGAAAGGCTCAGCTGGATCCTGTTCAATGTACATATAGGGAGCTCTCAACCGAAGGCTGTGTAGATACGCGATTGTATGTAGAGTAGTTCAGAAGAGAGACGGCATTTAGATATGTCACCAAACGCATCTTCCTTCAGTGCTGGCAAGCGTTATTTGTGCTGGAGAGCCTATGTGGGAAGTTGGTGATGAGGTAACAACTGCACCCCAAGCACGAATCAGGGTGCACTGCTTTGACCACCTAGCTTCAGCACATGGCGCCTGCCTGAGGGTGCACTTGCCAACAAAATAGGTACACTGGGTACATGCATCCTTTCTTGTCTTATCCTTCCATCCCCACCTGACTAGGCACCTTACCCAGTTTGGTTCCTTGCCTTCCGTCTGTCCCTTCCTCTCAATCGCAATCCCTCCCCCGCATCCTTCTCTTCCAAGCCTGTCTGCGCCGTCAGCTAACCTGCTCGAAACTTGCCTATTCTCACATTACCTCCATTGTGGTCTGGAGCATATTGAGTTGTTTCCTCGCCCCTTCACCACAGCAGATTGCAAGGCATTCTCTTGAACACTGGCAACCTTCAGAGGGGCTTGTCACTGGGGATTCGGCAACACTGACGCCACCTGCGGCAAGCTTACTACACCAAGTTTCCCCAGCCTCCCATCGCCATCGCAGAGGGAGGCTTCATACAATGGGCTTGGCGTACAACACATATTTGAACAGCAGCAAGGTCTATGGCTGCAAGACGTGCAAAGCACATCTTTCAAATCATGAAGATATCATCAGCCGGGTATGTGCGACTTCCCTGCCCGACATGGTGTAGAGACGGTGACGGGCGTGATGAAGGCAGCCATGTAGGAGGATCAACAGGACCCATCACCCTCCCCTCTGATCTTTTTGAGCCAGCCTGCGCTAACCGCCAAATGTCCATATGACCAGAACTTCCGAGGCCAGCATGGGAAAGCCTACCTCTTCAATACCGTCGTCAACATCGAGACGGGCGAGCCGAGCGAGCGAAACATGACGACTGGACGCCACATTGTGCGCGATATAACTTGCAAGCAGTGCAAGGAGACTGTTGGCTGGAAGTACGACAAGGCATACGAGGCGACTGAAAAATACAAGGAGGGCAAGTTCATCCTCGAGGCTGAGCTGCTTTGCAACGTCACCTAACCGCCACCTTATGATATCTGCCTTGATCGGTATGTTCTACAGTTGAGCCATGCGGATCTTTTCTTTCTTTCTTTCTCATCAAGGGGGCTTTGGAGTTTGTATGACATGCTGCATTTGGGTGGCGTTTGAGGTTTTCGGAGATGACTCTTCTCGGGCGCCTGCCAGCTATTAGCTCTCGCGTCAAAGGCCGCATGCCTGGCGTCACTTCTACACGCTTGGGATCATACATCAGGCGAAATACACTAGTCACTTTTCCTCTCAAACTGTGTGACATTTATGTACATTCTTTCTTTCGTAGTTCACTCAATACAGATGATGCCCTAACGCCACGAAGCTATGCCCAGGGCCCCCATCTATCACCTACATCGCCACTGTTTTGCATCTAGACATCGGACCAAAACCCCCCACTACCTTGTAGTAAATGTAGTTGCGGTGCCGTACACAAAATATGTGAGTGAGACATATTGTACAGGCAAGCCTACTGGTGTTCGATAGGGTCTTCCGGTAACAACTCCTCTACCTCTTCTTCCGGGACGAGGAACTTGAAAGGGGGCTGGACGATGCCGTTAAAGAGGAACGTAAAGTAGACGAGGAGGGCGAAACCAGCGACTTGCAGCCACTTGAATGTCTCCCAGCGCAAGCCGAGAGAGACGATCCAGATGAAGAGCGTTCTGCAAGTGTCGATGGTGGATCTGGAAGTGGCGGAGACACTCCTCGTAACGGACAGCCCGAAGAAGTTGAATCCACTTGATCGCGATGATGTTAGTAGCTGCCGATACTGCATGGTAAGAAGAAGCTTACCCGATACTGATCATGATCAGTACGCTGGACACACCGATGGCTCGATTCTCTGTGAGCTGCCTCCAGCCTTCAACCATGTCAAAGTACCCATTATGACCAGCGTCAGTGCGACCGATAGCGAGGTGCAGGACAATCATGCCAATGACTGTAACGATGAAGCCGAATAGACCCTCCCAACCGACAACCCTGATGGGTTCTATGGCTGATCTTTCGAGGATCCACTCCTCTAGCACAAATTGGGTCGCTGTGAATATCTGGGCTCCAGCAATCAACAACACACCGATGACAGAGAGCAGTGCGTTGGACGTCGGAGCACCTTCGTCCTCGGCACTCTGTGTGTTCTTGTCCTCGTGATAGATGGCGCCGGCCAGGCCGACGATGGCAACACCGAAAACAACACCCACAAGAGATAACCACTGGAAGAGATAGAGATGTCTGCGAAGGAAGATGACACTGAACAGCCCAACAAAGAGAACAAGAGCGCCGCGAGTCATTTGGTAGATCGAGGCAACAACGAGGAGCAGGCCGATATTCATCAATGTTGTCCCAAGAATGTCGCAGACAGCAGGGAGTGCCAGCAAGAGGATACGAGGTCCGCGGAGAATGGCGCCGTTGCCTTCGTCGCTCGGCGGCTTCGGTCTCCCATCAGAGTTCGCAACAAGTGCAGTGTTCGCGTCGTCCGTGTCGTTGGTATTTACAGCTTCGTATCCCTCGCGAGATGCTCCAGGACCGAATCGGCGATAGAGGTTCATTAGCCCTACTACCAACCAACAGCCCATCTCACCAACAAACATCTGCGCCGTCTGGAGGACCGGCTGGTTAAAGTAGGATCGCTTTGAAGGGTCTTTGGAGTCGCAGTTTGCGACACATTGCATATCCTGACGAGGAGTATTAGCTTTCAGGCAAGGATCAACTTTGGGGGATGGACCTGCCTGATATTTGGTAAGAAGGGTATTGCAAACACCCGTCAATAGCATCATAGCTACGAGAAACGGGACGAGAGCCCGCGATGCCATTTTGGATCACTTGAAAGAAGCGTGCCCAGGATAAGCTTCGGTATGACGGCAAATGAGGTGCGGCAGATGCGCAGAGGGAGCGGAGGCTGATGTCAAGCGAGACGGGGGAAAAGTTGGCTGCTGGTTATCAACGGCGAAGGTGAACAACCGGCTCTCAATGTTGGTCGAGGTCAGGATCCTGATGTCAAGGTAGGTTGGTAGCTGACAAACTGAAGGTTGGACGGGGACCGGAATGGTTGCACTGCCTCTGCGAATCCCAGGGCGCGGACGATTGAGCAAGAGGTCGTGTCAAACTGGCGCCGTCGGGACACGGATGTGGAACGCGGAGTGCAGGTGAACAGGGAACCTAATCGTACCCTTCAGGTTCCTTCCTGGGTGCCTTATCTTATGATGGCAATGGACATACGGATAATGAGCATACGCCGTAGGAACCAACCTCCGGCGTATTCATCAGGGAAGGTGTCTGGTAAAGGTACCTCAACGCAGGTACCTTACCTGGGGACCCTCGGGCACCTGACCCTTAGTGCCGGTGCCTCAAGGTAACCTAACGCTTGTCAGGGCGGGCTGGATCCCCATAGCCGTTGTCGCAGCATGAACCCGTGGACCTCCCATGTGACCCAAGGTAGGTATTTGCATCAGATGTTCTGAAGAAGGCGTGAAGATGAGAGATCGCACTTTCTATTGTATTCATGAATCCAATACCTGACATTCTAGGAAAGTCAGCAAGCCTGGTATTTCTCATCTGTGATCCTGCCTTGGAAGGGAGCTTAGCTAGCTCTTATCCGTATCCAGTCTCGGTACTATTGTTCACTTCCATTGCCTAGACTTTCTTGTTAAGCAGTAGTCAGTCGTCTTGTATTGAATGCGTTACATACTCATTCGGCATTCGCACATGAGGCTTAGACGAAGCTGCAAACCCACATTGGCAGTGGTTAGCTCCGACATAAATCCCGGCGCATCCAAGATGATGTTTCGTGCCACCAGACCATCCCGACGTGAGTGCTTAATGACTGGAGTTTTCAGTTCCTGGCGGCTCTTGGCACGAGCAGTGATATGATCCAAGTACCTTGTCCCATGTACGAAGAAGTCAAGACCAACACTCATGACCCACAATCTGACGCACAATCCCACCGCGTTGTCACCAGGCTTGGGATGCGCCGCACTCAGTATCTTTTGATGATATTCAAACAGATATTCTTACTTTATTTTAGCAGCATTACCGAATATTGTATTTGTGCTTTTTACCTGGCACTAGAGGAAGACTACGACCAACTACCACTTTTACTTTTTCTCCTTGGGAGGCTTATCCCTGATGTTGTTGTAATGTTGAATGCCTAACTCCTTGTCCCTCGCCAGCCGTTCTTGGTCATCTTTACTCACTGGGACGCCCTCAATGCTCTTGACCTTTTTGCTCTCGTGGAACATCATCAGACCACCCGTAGCAGCGGCGATGCAGGCCAGAGCGACGAACAAGCCCGTGGCCCAGCTGGGCCGATTGTAACGGTTCATACCCCACATGAAACCCGATAGAACGCATTGCAGAAACGTATTCCACACATTGAACCAGATAACAAAGTCCATCTTCCATATGGCAGTGGGTGGCGCTCTGACACCTGTTAATGGGGGGTTTGGGATTGCTTTCTCGGGATGCGGAATATGCAGAAGTGGCCGGTCGTCCGAGAGTTGGATTACCGTTTCCGGCCCAACGTTGACCGGGAGCTTTTCGGAGCCTGGAAGTCGAAACCAACCGCGGTGTATGCCGGCCAGGCGGCAAAGTGCCTCTGGTTTGCGGAGGACGCGGTATTGAAGAAGGAAGTACAGATCGCGAAACCTCCAAGGTGCCAGTCCAAAACCAGTGACGCAAAACAAAGCGTTGACGATCTGTGAGTCCCATTCGACCCACTTACGACGTGGGGAGTTGATGTCGTTGCATGTTGGGTAGCACATGGCTGGCGACGCATTGCAAAGTAGAAGGAACAACATGCCGCCCCATGCAACGACGTTGAGACCATAGAGAACAACGAAGAAGCCGATCGGTGTCCACGTGTAATTCCAGAAAGCCTTCGCACCTATTCGCAAAGATTGTTTCCAGTTGTGCTTGGGAGGGAAGTGATATCCATTATCGTAGGGTTCGTACAGATCCTTCTCGGCGGTGGCGACAGTCGCCTGAGCTGCATTTGTAGGGATTCTCTCTGTGCCTTCGATGCCGTGCTTCTTATTGTCATCGACATGCTTTTGGACTTCGGAAGATGCCTTTGAATCTGTTGTTGACTGGTCTAAAGGAACGTTCCTCTCTTTCTCGCCGATGTTCAGCGACGACGCTGGTTGGGACATATCTGTCTTGAACGGGTATCGGTTCGTGGGTCAAATTCGTGGTCAACTTAAGCAGAACCTCGCGACGAGGTCAACTCTTGCTCTGATTTCGCGATGGGCGAAACTATCCTGTGGCGTGTCTACCGCCCGGAACAAGTCGATATTTCGGTATATGAGGAGGTGTGGTACTGGAGTTGGGGTGGTGACGATGGTGGTGACGAGGTGGTGCCGCGATAGATGGACCAAGCTGGAGTAGAGGAAACCACCGGTGCAGAAAGGTAAAATAAAGCACGGGATAGGTAGGGAGGGTATCTGGGATAATGTGGTGCGACGACAATTGACAAAACAAAGGCTTGGCTTGGGGTTTTATTGAGGAAGGAGAAAGAAGGGTATCTCCAGGCTGAAAATGAAAGAGTTATCGTGCGGAACAAGTTGGCAAAGCGTCGCAAAGCGTCGCAAAGCGTCTGGTCTCTGAGGCAAAGCTCAAGAGTTTGTGGAGCCGGGCTGAGCGAGAGCGAGAAAGGGGCGGAGGAGACGGGCCTCAAGCGGTGGCGCTGTGGCAGTTCATGGCACTTTGGTTTTAATGATGAGGTGGTGCCCTGGGCGTACAATGCAGGCCGTTCTAGATTGGCCCATGCGGCGGAAACGACGTGCCCAAGCACCAGCTTTGCAGGGACTGGCTGCCAGCAAATAGCCGTCGCATGTCTTGTCAGTTACGTCAATACGCGTACGTGATGCGACACTCAGAATGCTCCGAGAGCCCGCCCGCTATCCCGCTACAGAAAGTGAACTGCGCGGTGAGGTCAGGCATCCTCTTCAAACATTTCAGCGGCCGCTGGTTGGTCTAGAGCCCGACCATTACGTAGCGTTGCAAGGAAGGCTATACCACCTAAAGCCGTAGACGCTTCCAAGTTTGCTTTTTTCTCTTGTCTTTTCTACATTGCTCCCCCATTTTCCTTCCTCTCTAGGGTTTTGGTGATTTCGGAGTTTCGAATTTTAGTCAATCAACACGTAAACATTGCATCTCTCAGACAACATGCCAACCCCCCGATCAATTGTACTCAGTTTACAGATACAAAGGGCCATTTAACAAACGCATCGCTTGCGCCAGACACTGGAGAGTAACCATTGGCAGGCACCGTTGAGGCTCCTTCGGAAAGTCTTTCATGCAGGTCAGATTGAAGCCCTCGTTGGTCGAGTACTCAATCAGCGTGCGCCAGTGGCCCTTGCCTAAGCTTGCCTTTGCACGTTGTCTCATCTTCCCAGTGCCCCCGACGGAAAAGCGGCTGAAAACGATGACTGGCCTGCCAAAATCTATGTCCGCACCCAAGCGCCACGGTTCACTACCTATGCGGCAATGCAGCTAGGCAGGTCTAGGCCGGTTGAGCCGAGACTCCTGCCCTCGTAGCTCCGAATGTAACTGGACATCGAAGGTAAAAGCACGGGGTAAAAACAAGAAGAAGAAAAAGAAAAAAAATCTTGCGCGATGGTATCTGTCTACTATTGGTTAGGGCTTGGAAGGGGGGCGAGCCTTCAAGTCCATATTGTTACCAAAGATCATCGGAAAATCGCCGCGGTACATGCATACCTTATAGTTTGCGGTCTACTAAGTTTTGTATGCGATTACTGGTGGATACTACCGCAACCAAACAACCCACAACGGGCCGAGAACCTTGAGAACTCTTCAGAGTACAATTCATCAGTCATCGTTGTTTACTTGGCCTCATTTCTGATCGCGTTCAACTCCATTCCGACAGAAGCACATCCACGTCGCTTGGCCCATCACGGGCTGTACCTCAGTATGGCTGTTGAACAACATCTTCTCGACTTGACCGCTCTGGTGCTCAGCAACCTCATGGACCAACATGACTGGACTGAAGTGCAACTTCACGATGATGGTCGACCTCGCCCACGACCTGTCATCACCGGTCTCCCGCCGACCAGGCTTTATATCCATCCCGACGAGCAAATTGAGATCCTAGAGAAAGAACAAGTCACAGGAAAACGTCCCAGCCAAGCGCCAGAGTTTGAGTGGGTTCTACCGGTTCATTTGAGCGAACAGTGGACGTTATCCTCGTTCGCAACCATTTTTGATTCCATCGATGCCCTACCTCGCATGGCTCACTCGGCAAATATTTCAGATGCAGCCTCGGGCAGAGACTGGCGTGGTGCAGGTCGCCGAAAGAGATTGTTGCTTGCCGTCGTTCACGATGACTCGACCATCTCCTACTATCTCATGCACGAAGGCATCGTGAAGCCTAGGCAAAACTAAAGACTTGCACCGCACCCAACCCGACTTTTGTTTCCTTCTCCCGGCATTCTATTCTGTCCATTCCAACCCAGCTTGGCAGCGGTAGATTGGTGAAACCCAAGGACCTACCGAAGTGGTACCATTGCCGGTAACTCAACGGCTCGAGCGACCTGGTCACGGCGTGAAGATTACCTTCTGGACCTTCATCTGGTTGAATAGCGCATATCCCTCGACAGCATCGCGCAAAGGCATGATGCGGTCGAACATGAATCTGTCCACGGTCAGATTGCGAAGCTAGGATGACGCTCTTGCCCTGCAAGGCTTGTCGGACAAACACAGCACAATCTTGACCTACCCAACTTTGTCTTGCTTCTTCTCCAGCAAGGCGAGAGCCTCTGGGAAGATGGATCGCACGGGGCAGCGCCCCATCTGGACT